TGCTGGCTTGAGGAGCACCTCGCCCGGCTGCAGCGAGGACAGGATCTGCAGATACCATCTCCTGCTGTCTGTAGGTGGAGGGGAACGGCAAAGCTTTGAAATGAAGAGGAGAAGCAAAGAGCGGGTGCGTGGTCAGAGGGCGTGTGGGGTGCCCTGATGCTCCCCGGGGTCCCCGTCCCCATCACAGGACCCCAAGGCGTCGCAGGTCTCCATCTCCCTCCCACGCTGTGTGCCGGCCTCTCCCAGCAACCCCCCTTCCCTGTCATGCGCCCCAAGCTTTATTAAAAACCAATGGAGACTTTTTTTTTTCCAGATTTGTTAAACTACTGAAAACTTCTGATCCTATCAGGGCTTTTTTTTTCCCCTGCCTCATACCAGATAAGGACTGCACTGGCTCTGAGCCCGGAGCTGAGGGTGGCGGAGAACGGGGTAGGGAAGCAGTCATCTCATGAATATATGAAGGAGGAAAGTACATTTGTTCAGTTTCCTTCAAGGGAGACATCTCGAATAAAACTTTATCTCTTCTTCTGCTACCCTCCCCCTCAAATTTGCAATTAAAATCAAATTTTTGCGTATGAAAATCTATTTTTATAGCAAGAGATTTATTAATGTATATAATAATCTATTAATATATTAATAGCTATCTATTAATACCCAAGTTATAAAAAAGTTATTTTCATTCTATTTTAAAACTCAACAAAAAGGTCTTGGAAAGAAAAGAAAAAAAAAGTCCAGATGGAATACAAGTCTGTTTTCAAAATGCTCCTGGGTTCCCATATCTCGCTCTGTTGATCTGAACCCCCTCTGTGTAAAAGAGCTTCTCGGAGAGAGATTGACCCTCCCTCGCGGCGCGTTGGCAGGCTGCGCTGGGGGCCACGCTGTGCCACGGACATCATTTCCCCTGGTGGGTTTGCCTAAGGATGGCTTGGAGATGTATGCATTGCAGGAGGTGCTTGGTCCCCTGATGTATGGGTATGTGTGGTTCTTCATGCTTTGTTTTGATGGTGTTTTTATATATAGATATTTCAAAATATATATATATATGTATATGTATCTCCTGAGTTGATTGTGTAGTGCAGCTGGTAGTCTCCTGGTGCTCCTGGACATGGTGTGCCTGCCCATGGCAGATGACATGGACAGGTGGAGAGCAGGGGACCGATGGAGACAGAGACCCTTGCTTGAGAGGTGGTAGAGATGTTTGGTGGCTGGAGAAAGAGATGGAGAGGTGAAGTTCTCGGTGTTTCTCATGTCTTTGCTGTATCCACCATGCTCCGTGGCAGGGCGTCGCTCCCCAGATGTGTTGTCATCCCAACATGTGTGAAGCGGTTGTACAAATCTCTCCCACCATCATCACATCGGCATCAGTGTAATTACCTAATTTTATGCTAGTAAAGCTCTCTGCTTTCCAGAGGTTAGTACCTTCAGGGTGGCACTGTTGAAAATCAGCCCACATCCCAGTTTCAGAACAAACACCACTGCTTATTTCATGCTTTGGAAAGCAACAAACACCCTTTATTTAGAGCTGGTGAGAAAACAGGATTTCCACCATGTGGAAAATTTCCAGTATTGTGAAATTTATGCTCATCCCAGCTAGGATCGGAAAGTCAATTTCTTGAAATACTTTGTAGAACAGAAATTTCCAAAATATCGATCCAGAAACATCAAAATGAGCTTATTTGAAACTCAGGGCTTTGATTTGGAGGAAACAATTACAGCATTATTGTAGTGCGTTACACATATCTGATGTTTACGTGGTGCGTTATGGACGTGCTGATGCGTTAGACCTTGCGAGCCAGCGTCAGTGGTTCCCAGGCGAGCACCCTCCCCTTGGCCTAGAAAAAGCGGATGATTTGGCAGCAGTCGGTGCGAGAGCAGGAGATGGGCATGGAGAAGAGCCGGTGTCTCTGACAAAGAGCCTCCGTCCTATGCGTAGCCACGGGTGCTGTCATGAATGCGTGCAGAGATCAGGAGGTGAGGATCCCACCAACCTTGACTTCTAATTGCACCCAAACTTTTCCATTTAATCCTCGACTGAGTTTGACGTGTTCTTGCAAAACGCTTTGATTCCACTGAAGCGGCGTGCTCAGTCGAGCAGCTCTTGAGCTGCACTGCGAGTTACTCCTCGCTCCACAACTCTGGGAGCGTTTTAGCCACTGGTTATGTTGAGGAATCGGTAACTTGCCCTCTGGCACTTGGAAATCAGAGAGAGACGTGAAAATCAGGTGCTTAAAAAACTGGGGTGTTTTTTATAGATATGTTTTACTTAATACCTTATGTGGGAAGCTCTAATAGAAGTTGCTGCTGACTTTCCAGTCTTCTCCCTGCAAATGTTGTGTGAGGAGGATGGAGATGATCGTGGCTCTAGGAACCAAAACTTTAAGCCAGACACCAAAGACTGGGAGACCTGGGGAAGCTGGCACCTTTGCAGACCTTAAGCTTCACCACTCTGTTTTAGTAAGCTGCCAAAACCAAGCTGTGGAGCCGTCCAGCTCTCTCAACCAGCCATCGACACCGCGAGGTGCTGAGCCAGTTTAGGAGAGGGGCTGCCGGTGTCCGGTGTGGCATGGAGTGGAGCTGCCAGCCACTGGGTAGATATAGGGTCTCTGTGAGCTGCAGGAGTGTTGGCTTAGGCTGAGGGCAGTTCTCTAGCATGTGGTATAGCAGCTCCACTGGAATCCTCCAAGGCCACGTCTGAAGACCCTAAAATATCTCAGTGAGGTTGAGAGCGCATTTCCGAGGGCTATGGGGTACTTCCATCACCACCAGCTCCATCCTGGCTGCCCAGCCTCTGGTAGCAGAAAGCAGGTTGGACGGTCAAAGGGGTTTCGCGGTTCCTTGTCCCTTGTGCTGGAGCCTCGGGGATGTCCTGGGATGGTGGAGGCACCATCCAAGGGCAATCAGTGGAGGTGGAGGCACGCAATCAGTGTGTCTCTCAAACACGGGTTGTGGGTACGGGTTGTGCTGATCCAAGCCTGGGACGGTGTTTTGGGGAATCCCTCCTGGCCACTGACGCTGGTGAGATACTAGTTTTTGGCATCTCCCCAGAGCAGCCCTCCATACCCAGCCTAAGTGTCTGGGAAAGGTGCGGCTCTCCTGGCTGTGCTGGGAGTCCCATGAGGGCTGGGACGAGTGCCGCTGCTTCCCATCTCTGTTGCAATGTATTTTTACCCAAACATCACTCATATTTTTCAGTTGATGACTTTCTTTTTTCTTTGTTGTAATTTTTAAGCCAAACAACATATTTTACCACTGCAATTTGTGCCAGCAAAAAGAAAGGAAGAAAGGAAGGCTGTTGGTGTGAATTGTTTTGTGGGAGATGTGCAAACGAATAGGGGAGCCGTAAGGAGAGCAAATCGCTCTCGAAATAGCGTATGGGGGTGGACAGGAGGGAGGTGTACGACGGGAACACGTAATGTGCTTTACGAAGGTACGGTGACCTTCAGCTGCGTCCTGAAATCGCTGCCCGAGATGGAAGCTGATTTTGCGGAGGCTGAAGAGCCTTGTGCTTCCTCCACTTCAGCTTGTTCCTGGGGTTGTTAAGCTGCCCAGGGCCCTCGCTGCAGGAGGGGGTGAGATTGAGATCAAAGCGTTGTGCCAAACCTCGGGGTGGATCTCACCACCTCTGCCAGGCCGGAGAAACCCTCAACGTGGTGACGAAGATGTGAGCTCAGTAGCCCCGATGGATTTATTTCCTGGAAACCAGGGATGGGAGAGCAGGCGGTTTGGCAAGCATCACTCGAGGAGGGGACGGTCCTATCGCCTCTAAATCTGCGTCGGGAGGGGCCAGTGCCGGGCGCTGGCGATGCGGCTGCAGCGTGCTGGGGAGCTGCCGGCTTTGCACGCGTTT